AAGAGGGAGGAAGGTACGGTGGTGTGCAGGGGAGGGTCAGAGAGGGCTTCCTGAAGGAGAGTGGGACACACACCTGCTGGCATCTCACCTGCCTTCTTTCTCCCTTTGGCCAGGCCTGTCCACTTCGTTCCCCATCGACGGCACCTTCTTCAATAGCTGGCTGGCGCAGTCGGTGCAGATCACGGCAGAGAACATGGCCATGAGCGAGTGGTCGTTAAACAATGGGCACCGCGAGGACCCTGCTCCGGGGCTGCTGTCGGAGGAGCTGCTGCAGGACGAGGAGACGCTGCTGAGCTTCATGCGGGACCCCTCACTGCGACCTGGCGACCCTGCCAGGAAGACCCGTGGCCGCACCCGCCTGCCTGCCAAGAAGAAACCACCACAGGATGGGCCCGGTTCACGGACGACTCCAGACAAAACCCCCAAGAAGCCCTGGGGCCAGGATGCTGGCAGCGGCAAGGGGGGTCAGGGGCCACCTGCCAGGAAGCCACCACGGCGAACGCCTTCTCACCTGCCATCCAGTCCTGCAGCCGAGGACTGTCCCATCCCAGCAGCTCCCGAGAGCCCCCCACCGCTGGCCCCTGAGACCCCGGACGAGGCAGCCCCAATGGCTGCCGACTCGAATGTCCAAGTGCCTGGCCCTACGGCGAGTCCCAAGCCCTCAGGCCGGCTTCGGCCGCCCCGCGAGAGCAGGGGAACCCGGAGATCGCCAAGTGCCAGGCCTGATGCCGGGACAGGACCGCCTTTTGCTGTGGCCGAGAGGCCAAAGGTCAGCCTACACTTTGACACTGAGACTGATGGCTACTTCTCTGATGGGGAGATGAGCGACTCAGATGTGGAGGCCAAGGACAGCGGGGTGCAGCGGGGTCCCCGGGAAGCAGGGGCTGACGAGGTGGTCCGCATGGGGGTACTGGCCTCCTAAGTCACCCCCTACCCCTGTCCTGGGCCCTGCCCTGGTCCGCCCACGAGGCCTCAGCCCAGTCACAACTGCCATTTCCAATCTCTGCTGAGCGTCTCAGACCCTCGAGGCTGCCACTCTGTTGTGGTTTTATTTTTAATATAAAGAGAGTTTCGAATTCCACACTATTGTCTTTCCTCTGTGCTGGCCTAGGACGTTAGGATTCCTTACGTGGCTCTGGCCACAAGGACCACACCAGGTCCTGGGCACCATCCCTGCCGCGGCAGCATCCCCGCCCGGCCCATGCGGTATTCCTGGGCTCCTGGCTACACGTAGGCAAGGTGAAGGACTCCAGCCTGCTGCCACTGGGTGACACAGAGTGTCATTTGGGCATTATTATGGCAGATGGGCCAGCCCAGGGCCTGTCCCGCCTTGCCCCCAAATCCCACTGGGGTCCATCTGGGGGGTCCTGCTGCACTCCACTGATCCCCAAGGAAGTATAATAAGTGATACCCAGCCAGAGTCTACTCACTGTCACAAGCACAACGAGCTTATACGAGAAAGCACTGAGGGGGCGAAGGGGGCCTGCTGGTTCCAAGGGAACCACAGCCGTTCCTGATCAACCCACATCATCTGAGGCCTGCCCACCCACCCCGTGACCCTCCACTCCCTTGCTGCTCTGCCCCTGCCAGCGCCCAGCCCGGCGGCTCTGGGAAGGGCTTCCCAGAATCCTTCCTGAGCTGTGCCGTTTTCTCAGGGGACTCCCAGCCGGCCAGCCGCCAGTGCCGGCGGACGGCTGCAAGGGAGGGCCAGTGCTCAGATGGGGGGCGTGGGGCTCAGACTCGCCCACTGCAGAGAATCGCTCTGGGACTCCAACTTCCTTCCTTCCTTCGGGGCCAGTCTCGGCCGAGGTCTGATCACTCCCAGATAGCTGACCAGACCAGACCGCTCGCCTTTTCAAGTTTCCCAGTCCTGCTAAGAGATGAGCTTCTTTCTCAGTTTCCTTTTGGAAACTCCTCTTTCCAACAGGCAGTGGGATCCCGGGGCCCAGGATGCGTCAGTGACGGCCTGCTGGGGCTGTATTAAGTCTTGCTGGATCTCCCTGGTTCCTCTCTCTCCCTCCGAGCCTTAACCCCCTCTCCCAGCCATTCCCTCCCTCCCCAGCATCACCGTCCTGCCTTTCCCACCCCGCCCTCTAGGTCCCAGGTAGTAGCTCTGAAGAGTTTCAGTGGAGTGGCCCCAGGGTGACAGCTCAGGGAACAAACAAAACAAGGAATTCAGTGAAAACGTGTTTTTCTTTCTTTTATGAATTACTCCTGGATCACTTCTGCCACTGGTAAAGCCAGAACTTCTCCAACAAGAACCTTGCAAAAGTCCAGTGAATCAGTCGAATCATTCTGTGGATGCCAAAGAATATTTTGACCATAATACAGCACAGCCTGGACCTGACAACTTGTCACTTGGACTATTTTTTAAATGGAGCTCTTTAGCAACCAAGTATAGAAACATGTCCATTGCACACGTCCAAGAGGCGAGCGCAAGCTCTTGGACGAGGATGCTGTTCTGCTGCTGGTGTTGGATTTCAGATCCCCAGGCTGGGCCCACTGTGAGCTCTCCTGAACTCTGAGACTCACTGTGGGGGAGACTGATGGCGAAACCAGCGTGGCAAAAGTGTTACCATGGGGTTGCCCCCACGTGACACACGAAGCGCAAATCGGCGGGATGGGGAAGCAACTCGGGCACCCATCCCCGACTCCAAATTTTCAAGGTACGACAGTGGCATGATCATCGACACTCAGTTTCATGTGAATTTTATCAAAACAGGAAACAAAGACAATGACTAAGTTTAAAGGGTCGGTCAGATTTGTCCAGTCGGAGCAGACTCGGAGTGGGCTTCGAGGACTCTGGGCGTTGGGATGGCATGAGCTACCATGTAGAGTTTAGTCTGCCTGCCCGCCCGCCTTGGCAGTAGTGGCCAGTGCAGTGTCAGCATCAGCATCCCAACCCCATTCTCTGTTTACTGCCTTTGAATAGACCTTCCTTCCCCGTGCTTCGGGTCACCTCGGGCCACAACCTTGTCTGTGCTGGATTGCTCAGTCTGACCTCACAGGAAGCAAAAGGGACGAGCTTTAAAGAACAACCAAACTCTGCCGGGGGATGGGGGTGCCAGGAATGGCTCGGGTCCGGTAGACTCAATACTTGCCTGTTTAGCCTTCATCCATCCTGAGGCAGAGTCTGGGCTCCCTGGGGGTGAGGGTAGGGAGAGAACCAGGATGGGAAGGTAGTGGGTCTGGCCAGGATCTGGACTGGCTGGGCCAGGCCGGGCAGCCAGCACTCTTCAGAGGGCCTCTACTCAAGTCGGCCTCTGGATTCCGACCCTTTTCCCAATTGGCTCTTGCTTTGGATTGAACTATCCCTGGGGCCCACATCCTGCACGGAGTCCAAGGGTCTGTGAGGCTGGCTGGCCAGGGTCTCCCAGGCCACGCCCTAGAGCTGTCCTTGCCAGGCAGCTGTCCAACCCTAGGATGTCCACCGGGCTGCAAAGAGGACAAGGATAACCGGTTCCCACTGCTGGCCTTTCTGCTATTAGCCACAGCCCCTTCGCTCTTTTTCCAGCCTGCCGACGGCTTTGCCGCCTCGGAGTTTAAGGTGGGAAGCTGGGAAGAAGGCAGGAGGCCTTTTCCAGACCAGAGGCTGAGGCAGATCTTTCGCTTGACCGTATGTGTCCACACTCACTGGCCCTCCTCAGGGAGGGAGGAGCTGCTCTGGAACTCAACCGGGCTGTCATCACCACCCTCCCAGTCCCCACTGCCCACCTCCTTCCCCCTCATCACAGTGAGAAAGGATAATGTGTAAGGAAAGTATTTTTATGGATCATAAATGTATTTTAGAACAAATAAGGAGAAGAAAGGTAGAAGGGTTTATTTTATTAAATGAGCTCTGACTCGGTGACAGTGTGTGAGCATTTGCAGTGTGAAGGTCTCAGGTTCCTTGGAGAAGCCACCCAGGTTTCCAAACATGGGTGTTGGACTGTGGATGTGTGAGCCTGTTCCAGAGCACACCTTGTGTGTGTCCGAGTGCAGGCGTGTATCTGTGTGTGTCGTGTATGGGCACACGGTGGGACTTGGGGGAACAATTCCTAGAGAATCACCTGCTCGATTCTAACAGACATTGGCAGCAGCGGGATTTGGCATTTCCTTGCTTACTGCCAGATGTGGCCAACCTCTGCCCATGCCCGAAGCTCTGTAGAATGGCCTGGGTTCCTGTAGCATGGCCCTTGGGGAGGCCCCTTCCCATCCCCCTGGCCCAGCTGGCCACATTGGCCAAAGAGCCAGGCTGGAGTCTGGGACCTTTGGTTGTTCTTTAAGGCACTTCCTGCTACTTTGTCCCTCAGATGCACAACACTCTGTGCTCCACATCGGCTCGGGGTGGGGGGATGATATGAATGTCACAGGAGGAGACACCTTCTGTCTTTGTTTCAATGAAAGTGATGTGCCATTTGTTAATATACAAGAGAAATATTGAAAATATATTGAAAAGAGCAATTTTAAATTATTTTTGGCTTATGTTGCAATATTTATTTTCTTGTATTAGAAAAGATTCCTTTGTAGAGAAAAAATGTATTTTTCATTAACGCAAAAACCTATTTCTCCTTTTTGTACATTGTCCATGTTCGCTACCCTTCACGAGCAATAGAATGTATGGCCGCCTGGGGGTGGCCGGTGCCCGTGTGCCCTGCATGATTCTGTGTTGCCGCTGCCGCATAGCTCCCAATCCCATCCTGTCCTGCTCACTCATGGGGGTCTTCCAGAGCCCAGCCCCCACTGGGGCCCATGTCTTCAGGACCCCTCTGCACTCCTCATGTGTTGGCAAACGCAGTTAATAAAGCGATGTTTTCTGTGCTGGCTGGTGTGAGGCTCTGTTGCACCGGGGGCGGGGGGTAGAGGTTCACTGAAACAGCGAGTGTTCCCTGGCTGTCCGAAGGGACGTAGCAAGTGCTCAGTACGCACTGGGGCTGGGCATATTTCATTTTCTCCTCACTGCTTTCATCCCCTGGAGTTCAGATGGAGCTTCGCAAAGCCACACCCCTGGTAAGAGGTGAAGTTCAGCGTTAAAGTCGGGACACCTTGAGCCACCTACCTGGGGCAGTGGGAAGGTTTGGGAGGAAACTCGGGCCTCTGTCCCTAGATCAGGAAAGGCTTTTGCCCAGGCTTGTTTTTCACTCATTATTTCCTGAGTACTTACTCCGGACCAGGCTCTGTAAAGTATGGGGAATGTAGCCACCATCTATCTCTGCCCTGGGGGAGCTCACAGACCAGCAGGGACACAATGAGGGAACTGGGAGGTACTATGGAGCCCTGGGCTGATTGGGCAGGGGTGCATTCAGGTTACTCTGAGGAAGCAACACCATTCGTTCATGCATGCATTCATTCGTTCACTTGACAATTAGTCTACTGAGCATACATCTCATTCTGCCAGTGTGCTGGGTCGTACACTGTGGATGGCACCAGGACCCTGCCCTCCCGGAGCTTCCAGACTTCCAGGCGTTGTAGACTTGAAGAATAACTAGTTGCTCGCCCAAGGGGAGCTGGCTGGGAGGAAGGGACAACAAGCGCTCTGGGTAGAGGGCTCGGCAAGCGCGAAGATGGATTAAGCTACGTGCAGAGGGGTTTTGAACCTCCTCTGAGAGCCCAAGGGGAGGCTGTGTGGAAAGCGGCTTAAATTGAGACTCAAGGAATCTAGTTTCTGGGGCCGCTGACTTAGTTGTTAACCACAGAGAACTGCCCCATTTCCTCACTGATGCAGTAGAAGGTAAGTCCCCGAGGGCACCTCCAGATCCAAAGTTCTGTGATTCCCGCCCCCCCCCCCATGCAGAAAAGTGATGGAAAGAAACCTGGGGCGAGTGTACGTGCTTTGAATGTCTGTGGAGGGAGGTGTCCCTCACTGAGGGGCCACATCCCTGCTGCTGGGACCTGGGAACCCTGCCTGACAGAGCTGTGTGGCTTCTTTCAGGGCACCCAGCTGAGAGAGAAGGGCTCACTCAGCATCCTCAACCGCAGTCAGCATGAGGTGCTGGTGGATCAGCCCCAGGGTTGAGGGGGCTCCTGCTCGGCCAGCCCCCCTAGCTGTGGTTTGGGGCTGTCAGCTCTCTGGGCCAGCTGCCCTGGGCTCGGCACCCCA